ATGTTCTTATTGCTCTATAACCACATGAGTATACTGAACAGACTCCTGGAGATGTGACAATGGGCGGGTGAGGGGGTGCCACTTGGTCTCCCTTTATGATGCAGTACTTTCTTGGAGAGTGAGTTACAGGGAAATCTTGTGTACACAGTACAGATTTGTTTATTCTCGAATTACTTGCTTTCTCTGCCCCACTGTACTGGCATCATTTTTTCCTTAGGGGATTGTGTCAAAGGTTTTTGCAGTTCACACTGGTAATCCCTATTCACAACAGGCACAGACTTTTCATTACAAGGCGTGCTCGTTTATCATTGCTAGGGAGGCTAGTTTTTATTCTCTGCTTTAAGAGCAGCTCTGAGATTGCATTTGATTCCTAACAGTCAATTTATCATCACACATTGATTTCTCTCATATAACAAGGAAAATTCACAGGGGGAAAAAAAAGCATATAAAAGTATAGTGTGAGGCATACAGAATTAGAGTGTGTCATTAGAGCAATGATTCCAAGTTACACCAAACTGCATATGCATAATATGTAATGTCATTTACTGTGCCTGGACTACACTATGCCATCAGAACACCTGGTAACCTAGACAAACTCTACAACCAGGCTACAAGCAGCAAGGACCCTAGTGTGCTGCAGTAGCTAGGGAAGAAATTGTCAAAAAGCTCATTTATTTTTCCCCCCTCCCTCTATGACAGTCCCACATTTAAATGAATTCTTTGTATTTCACATTACAATCTACAGTCTGATTAATGACAGCTGCACGGGGCCAGTTTTGTTCTATTTTCTAATCACCCATCCTTCTAGAGAGCAATACACAAATGCATTTGAGAAGGTGATTTAGTTTTTCATAATGATGCAACATATTGGGCAGAGGATGTGTATATTTGATACAGCAATTGTCCACAGACACCTAACACAACATCTACCTACGGCACACACTATAGGAAGGTAACTGGTGACCCAGAGACATAACTGGGACAGAGCATTCCAAGGGTATTGTGTCAGATATTCTCTTACAATAAATCAAAGCAAGAAACATGAAGCCTAACTTGAAGCTTCACAAGCTCAAGAAAAGGATTCCAACCGTACAAAAAACTATCCAGGATTATAGTACTAAATTATCCATGTATTACAGGCGAAGAGCTTACCTGCGACAGACCACATCCTAGACTCGGGTGGCATCATTGCACCAGTACTGCAACTAGAATGGTTTAGTTACACCGTGTATTTACTTTCTGTGCACAATCACGTACAGACAGTGTGTGTGAAAATTCCCCCATATGCACTATTACCCCTTCTGTGAAGCTGAGAGGTTTTCCTGAATAAAGTGCCCCTTTATGTATAGTAATGAAGTGTCAGTCAAGCAGTTCTAACTTTAGTCAACTGGGGAAAAAACAAACACAAAAGCCCCTCTACACCAAACATTCTGGCTGTCTTCTCAAACTGAGAAATAGCACATTATACATCTATTCTTAATATATAATACACAGCATGCACAGATAGGCCGCACATGGACTTTTATAAAATACCTTCTAAATAAGTTTTTGGTCCAATCCACATGATAGATAATAGAAATCATAAGGGACAGGACACACGTTCCCTTCCATGCCTCTGCCACCCAAAATACACAAAACCCATTTTCAGATTAGGAGAGAAAAGGAATAAATAGAATCACTTTCAGCTATATATATACATATACTTATATGTATACATATATATACACACAATCTATATATGTATAGCTATGTGTGTACACAATGTATGCACACACACACACAGCTAACGCTACCTGAATAACAACATCATACCAGGAGGCTCTGAACACCTGAATTCATAGATGATCAGGTGAGCTGATTGTAGAACTGATTACAGATCCCACGAAAATAAAAGTCCTCTGGCAGTTACCAATCTCTGGACAGCTTGGTGTTCTGGTCTCTTTTAGGGGGAGCAGGAGGCGGTCCTCTCCGCAATGTTGCATAGCCTGATATGTGACTGCCTCCATACCCGGCCTTCTGTTGGTCAGAAAGCAGTTCGGGGGGTGGCGGGGGCAATGCCATATCATCCATGGTGGCTGTGGGTTCTGCTCTGGACACGCGGGAGGAGGAGAGCGAGCCATGCCGGGTGATGGACTTCCGCTGCAGTGTCCTGTTGAGGTCGGCCAGGAATCCAGGCTGGACGCTAAGGCTGGATTTGGGAGAGGTGGGCACTTGCGGCACAACTGTGGCCATTGCTGGCTGCTCAGAGATCTCGGCTTGAGTGAGGCGGGTGCTATCATTTCGTTTGGGTCGCGTGGGCGGAGGGGCCTTCTTCACGGACGCTTTGGACCAGGGCTGTGGTTGAGGATTAACAACTGCCACTTTGGGAGAGGTGCTTCCCGAGAATACTGCTGGAATCTCTACGGGGGGCAGAGGAAGCTCTATCTCAGGTGGAGGGGGCGGAAAGTCAGAATCGGATGGAGGAGAAGGAAATTCTACCACAGAGTCCTTTCCACGCCCACTCAGTGGAACAGGCGCTTTTGCTGACACACACCCGTGTTGGAGAACTCCGGGAAGGTTAACTCCGGAAAGATTCAGTTTTCCAGGTTTAGGGGGCGCTGCAGGAGGTGGTGGTGTCTCCTTGCTGGGAGACCCCGAGGGTTCTGCTGGCGATGCAAACTTGCTGACTAGACTGTCTACGGAAGGTCTCTTGGGCTCAGGGTGCTCTGCACAACTGCTGGACTTAATGCTGGAGTTCCGCTGTGGGGTTGGAGGAGGTTTCTTTCCCCCGGGGCTGGACGTCTTACTGGTCTTTTTGCCCGGAGAGCCACCTTTGTCTGGGGCGGGAGCAGCTGTGGGTGTGGCTGTCGGTGGTGGTGGGGGGACTGGGGCGGGTGGTGGAGGAGGAGGAGGAGGAGGAGGAAACACCAGGCTGCTCTCGGGAGGAGGAGGAGGGAAGTCCGGGGACGGGACAGGGATGGAGCTGGGCTGCCACTTGAGTTTCGCTTTCACAGCAGGGGGGGACTGCGGGGTGACAGTGGCTGAGGCGGGCTTTAAGGGCTGCGCCTCCAAGGGAGGAGGGGTTGGAGGGGGCGGAAACTGGCTGGCTAGCTGCTTCACCATGGAGGGCACCGGAGACAGCGGAGAGGGAGGTGGTTTTACACAGAAGCTCTGTTGCTTGGGTAACGTGGGCGGGGGAACTGGACCAGGAGGAGCAGGAGGAGAGGGTGGAACGTGAGAAACAGGAAAAGCTGGCTGCTTTTTTGCTGGGGGGACTGGAGGAGGAGGTGTAGGTGGCACAGCCTGTGTCACGGCGGGTGGCACAGTCTTGGTGCTGACTGGTGGGGGCAAGGTCACAAGGGGTTTGGGGGGGGCTTGAGGAGGGAGGGGTGCGGGGATGGGAGGAGGTGGAGGGGGTGCTGAAGGAGCTGTCTGAGTGACGTGCTGAACATGATGGATCTTCAGTGGAGGCGGTGGGGGGCTGAACTGCGGAAGGGAAGGGGCGCAGGGGGCGGGTTTCAGCTGGGCCATAGCCGAGCCAGGGGTAGGGGGTGGGGGAGGGGGAGGCGGTGGGGGGACAACTCCGCTGGGGGGCACCAGGATCTGAGGCTTTACTGACTGTGAGGTGGAGGACAGAGGCTGCATCACTGAGGGCGGGGGAGGCTTAAACAGGGGCCCTGAAAGCTGAGAGGCGTTCTGCAGCCTGGTTATTGTGCTGTACTTGAC